TTTTTGTGATATAAATAGACAATATTTACTAACAACTAGTTTACCCTACAATGGCCTACCTCTGCTCCTGACCCCTAACATAAATATGACATGGCTCCTTTCCCAAGTGACCCATGGGGTTGCAGGTGGTCCACATGGACACCTCTGTATGGGTTCTGACCTGGGTTCAAAGGTCAGACCCTCAAATGATGGTCTTCCTTGCTGCCTCTAATTGCCCTGTTTATTTTTAGTCCACAGTGGGCCGTGTCAAGCTATTAAAAGAAACATGAACATGAGGCCGCCTGCTAATTACTGCTGGGCCAGCAGACCCTCACTTTCCATGATTGCTGCCATATGCTAACCCAGAGAGGAGAGTCTCATCTGTCACCTTTGCTGTCTGTTTTTCTTTTTTTTTTTTTGGGTAAATGCTGCTGGATGGAACTTTAGTGCAAGTGCGTCCCTTTGAAATGTACCCAACAATGTGTTTGGAGCATTAATTCTAACCTCTACCGTCTACAAAGTAAGATTAGCTTTGATATGAGCCTGAAACACATTTACGATAGACTGAGTCACATGTAATGGAGTTGAATCTGACTTCCCTGTTCCTTTCCTTCAGTTCGCATTGTGTCAGAATGTTCTTATATTCCCCAGTGGCACCACAGAGCTGCGCACAAGAGATCTAGTTACAGGATACACAGGAAGACAACAGACCAAGTAGATAGTGACTCCTTAAATGCTCCAACCAGATTTACTGATACTCCCCAGCACTAAGTAATTGAGTCGATTTAGACCTATTTGTGGTCAGAGGGAAGTTGAAATAAAACAGCAGAAGAGGCCAGCTTACTAAAGTTGTGAAGTTTACAGAGGTTTGATTGCAAAAGGAAGCTGGTTGTGTGGATTAGCACATAGGCCTGGACGAAGAAAGAGCATGCTTATGATCAGTCTTGGAGACAGATAGCAGAGCAGTTAACATTTTTAATGATGACTGTTAATATATCCCTTCAAATGAAAAAAAATTGCTGAATTGAGCAGGCCACTGTGAGACATTAGTTACAGTTACACCTTATAATGAGATTGTGACTCGGAAACTACTTAATCATTTATTTTTCCAATTCAAAATTGGTATATTCATGAGTTCTAATTAGCATCAAATATTTCTTTTAGTTAAAGCTAACTTTAGTTCTCAGTGCCCTTTTTAAAAAAAAAAAAATTCTGTGCAGGTTGCAGGAAGCAGCCTCATGTTGGCCCTGAATCCAGAACTGTCAGAAAAGTGTCTGGATATTGTCAGGCGGTGCAGGCCCACCCGCCTAGCCTCACTCTGATGGATTGAGTTTCCTCTGCACCTAGATGCACACAAACCTGCAGCTTCCTGCAGAAATGAATCACTGGGAGAAAACAGGTATTCACTCAAGAGCAATGCATTAGACTTTAAGCTACCTATTTGGTGTTGCCACAGCAAACCGAGAAAAACTCATTCTAGTGGTCACCATCACAGATGGGGTAGATCTGGCAAGTTTCAAACACACCGATGATGACAGCCTCTGGTTTATATGAATTATTAATTCCTATGAATGCTGAATTGTAGAAATGTTCAGTTTCTTTGTAAGTTACAACAGTATTAAAATGCTAGAAAAAATAAACGTAATGATTTCAAACATGAAAGACAACAGTCTCACCGCAGTTCGTAGCTGCGTTTATGCATTAAAGTCCTCCTTCTCTCGTCACTATTAAATACTTGATCAGTAGTAGCCAAACATCCTGAGTCTGTATTTGACTCTCATCTATTCTATTAGATCAAAAGTCAGCCAATTAACAGCAACTTAAAGCCTTCTTTTTTGTTTGGTAACAAGCCAAGACTGCAAATTGGATGAAAATTGTTCTCATAGGAATAAATACATAGTTCATCACCTCCTGCATATTTGCTACCGTTTTTACTAGTACTGGAGTATGTTTTAGGATTGTAAGACTTTAAGTTATGGATTCTTTTAATTGTAAAGCCAAAGTGTTTATGGAAACCCGTGTTTGTGCATTCAGATCAAACTGGTCCCAGCTGGGTATATTTGGGATTTGATGAAAATGTGATGTGAAGAAACTTAAGAGTAAAGACGTGATAACCTGCAGACAGATGAACGTGTTGCAGCAGCATCTGGTAGCACTTTGTAATAATGGCTGCTAACCCTGGTTATCAGGACGGCGCAATGTGGACCAGTCTTTTATCTCGGATTCTGGAATTTCAGACTCTGCGCTTTGTGAAAGCTTTAAATGTGGAAAAGTCTGAAGTTTCTCTCCTGGTGGCGTTTGCTGAGGTAACACCCAGCCGTTGTAAATATCTTAAAATCTGCAGGGCCTCTGGAGCTTTTCTTGCCACTATTGGTGTTGTTTGTCTTCTCACCAAAGTGTAACATGTTGTGACTTTATGTGGTTAAAGCAATGCTTAAATGTGCAATACAGATGCACAGTCGATTCCACTGCAAACCTCTTTTGCTTTTTCTTTCCCAGTAAGACTTTGATTTGGATATCTGTCGCTCCTCCAGACTTACAAATGTTCATTCTTTTTTATTGAGATCTGTCTGAAATAATCACAGACAAGTCGGATAAGATATATACATGCATTAATACGTGTATATATATATATATATATATATATATAGCCAGACTTGCCACAGATAAGGTGTGGGAGGCGTGTCATAGTCATTGTGTGAGCTCCTAGTGGCCCTCTGCTCTAACGGAGACAGTGCTGGAGCCCCTACCCATCTGAGGCACACCTGAGCATAATGGACAGCTGGTGGTGCTCATTGTGGTTGCTTCCTCCACAGAGCCTCACAGGCAGCTGCAGTGCTGGTTTTGAGCAAGGCTCCTCCACCAACACAGAAGTCAAGGGGATATACTAAGTTTGAAAGCAAAGCTCATAAAATCACCAATCACACTTTTATGTTTGCTAATGCTGGGCTGCCAATGAGGAAAGGGGGCCCCTTTAATGAGGCCGCGTTCAGTTATTCATAATGGAGAGCTCAGTAATAAAAAACTGCTGTGTTGCGTTTTGCATCGGGTTCTCATTTTTGATTATTAGCCAAAGTGGCGAAGCGTAAAAGAGCCTGCTAGGTTGCTGCAGAACAGCATGAAATTCAAGACCTCAGTGTTCAGACTTGGTCCCCCTCCAAAACGTTTTCCAACTGGGATCAGCAGTTTGCTTTATGGGACACTCCCAGTTCCTCCACCACCTCCTAATCTCCCTGAGAAACCAAGGTGAGACTCTTGGGTGAAAGGGTCACTGTCCCCCCAGCATTCCTTGCTTGGCAGGGGGGCGAGGGTTGGCTTGAAATGGAGGGGCAGGATGAGGCATTGAGGTAAGCACGGGCATTGTGTATCTGGTTTAGTTGGGTTTGCCTCTCTGACTTCTGTGGAAAAAAAAGAAGTTGTCATTGTTGGTCAGACTTAACTCAACATTCCTCCTGACTCTGCAGTGAGGGTGTAGGTGAGAAAGCTAGCAGTGAGGGGGCAAGACGACAAAACAAAACCCCATAAGAAACAATAGAAGGCGGCCGCCTCGAGCTATTCTTAGCCGTTGTAGCCTTCAGGGCTCCAGGCAGAAACTGCATTACAATGAAGACAGGCCAAGAAATTTCAGCAACCTGAGCAAACTCACAAGAGGGAAGATCCTCCGAATGATACTCCTCCTACTAACAAGTGCAACATTTCCAAGGAAAAAATTGGTCACGCTACAAATAACTTAACTTTTACACTACATATGTTTGTACTAAACTATGTAGAACCTATAGGGTCATGTAGCGGTCAACTGAAGCTACAACCGTCTCCTCGTCTCTCAGATTTTTAACTCTTGATGCAAATTCCCAAAACGGGTCTTCCGAAGCAGCCTTTTCAGCCTCAGCTCTTGCACTTCTTTCCCCCCTCCGAACAGATTAAAGGTAAATGGGTTGTTTTACCCTCGAGCCTTTTTCTGTCTCAGAAATATGGATGCCTTTGAAGTGCTCGTCCCTACACAGCGAAGCGGAGGTTACATGTTTGGGTATGAGCAGGATCATTCTGCCGGGCTTATCACTCTCACTCCATCATGTCACTTGAAATTTAGTCAAATTCCTCAGCTCAGAGCAGATAGGTGTCCTCAGGTGATTGCTTGCACTTCGTGTTCTCCCGTTGCCTTGCAAAAAAATGAAAAACAAAACAGTGCACAAGTTGCCATACTCCAAATGCATTAGTTTGACCAATTCCGGGTCAATGACATGCAATTCAATTCAATTTAATACAATTCATTTTTATTTATATAGCGCCAAATCACAACAGTTATCTCACAGCGCTTTCCAAAAAGCCGTACTCTGGAGTTATTCACAGAAGCCCAACAATTCCCAACAATTCATGCAAATGTTTATTTATCTGGATATGCAGATTTTAAGATAATTATTTTACTTTGAGTGAGGGAGTTCCTTTTTTTGCCTCAGTCAAACCACATAAATCCCAGAGATACATCTATTGACAAACAATTATCTCCCTTTTTTTTTGGCTTTTGCACAGACACATAAATAAGAGGAACGTTTCGCTCGAGGCATGTCTGAGCTGTTACCAGGCCGAAGTTTTTCAAGAAGGCCCCTGGGGGAGCCGATTATGACTAATGAGGTCCAACTTAACGTGACCAGAGGAGGCAGCTGGCGAGAAACAGGCCGCGGTTCAAGCCTTTATCATCAGATCTCTTCATGGGCTAGACAGAGGTACAAACCCACAGGAAATACATCACTGCATGACGCCAGCCATGTCTGCAACAAACCAGCTACAGTGACTTATAAGGTAATCTTGGGGAATACATGGAATTTTGGTGAACAGTGAATGGCTTATTCAATATTCTACATTTTTAGTGCTTAAATCATTTTAACGAGCTAGAGAGCATGCCTCCCGCATCTCGTCCACTCACCCACAGCTAAAAGAGGCAGTAGTTGGGAACAAGGCAGATGGTAGTGTGGTTTCATTTACCTGATGAGGCTTCGTGTTCGGGACACCTGTTCCTCAGTCCTTTGTGTCTCTGTTGTTTGTCAGCATGTGTTTTAAAGATGACTGAAGGCTGGCTCATAACTGGATAATTGATTTAAAAAAAGCCATTTCATGTGCAGAAGCATAAATGGTTTGAAAGGTTTTTTTGTAATTTTCATTAATTCACAGATATGTTTTTCATGTTTTGTGTCGACAAACTCCTCTCCAACGTGTTTTTCTCAGTGAGGGGTTTGGTCCCCTGCGTGCAATTTTGTTGTCCCTTTCCTGCTGCTTTATTGAAACCCCTGTTGTCATAGCTGACAAATTGACGTAAGTAATCAGTAATTGTTTTGTGGCTCTGTGGCTCGGAATCAATTATCATGCTTCCCTGGCATTAGGTCCCTTGGTTGATTTAAACACAAGCTCCCCTTAGGTAAGTCATCAGGCCTAATTGAGACCTGGGGAGCATCAGTGATAGCTTGTTGAGTTTTCAGGTGGTTTGTACTACGACCCTGGTTGGGTTTTGTTTGCAATGTAATTCCTTTATTTAGTCTTAATTCTGTCACAGATGTTGGTACAGCAACCGAAAAAGCTCCAAATATTTTTCGGGAGCATCGAAATGATTTAATAGGACAACTGGTCATTTTGAAACCTTCAAACCTTTTAACTGGTGGCGTAAAAGGGATGTTCACAGTGCTGAGGTGAGAGCAGCAGGTGTGGGAATAATCTGAGACCCACCCAGTTTACTGCAGCCCCTATTCAAATTCTGCCTAAGCTGCCATCCATTGTGTCCTGGGTGCTGAAGAGCAGCAGAGGAACAGGACAATTATGACATTATGGCTGGGTGGCTGAGCAGCAGTTCCATCTGGTGAGAAGCGGATAGGTGGAATGGGCATCCAGGGAGAATCCACTCCCAGAGGAAAGCAATCCACCACATGGAAGGCCGGGTTCTCCCTTCATCAGAGGGTGTCTGTGATGCTCCACGTCTCCAGCGGGAGAAAAGGTGTAACGATTTGAGGATTGATTTAGTCTCTCATTGGGCAGAAAAACTTTCCTGAGACAAACAAATTTGTTGATTGTTTGTCTTCGTTAATTTAGTTTGACTGCTGAAAAAAGTTAGCAACAAATCATATTCAGACCATGATTTTTTATTATTTTAACTTAACTGTGCATCCACCTTCATGATATTTGAAATATATTATAATATGTACACATACATTTTCATATTTGACTGGATTGACAACATAAACGTTTCCAAATGATGTGTTGTATCATCACTAAAATGAAAACATGATAGAAAAATAAGACATCCAAGCTTTAAGCATTTAACTTTTGTTCTGCCATAATGCCCCAATGTTGAATGTTCATAACAAATTAAGTGTAGTTTCAATTAATGGTGCTTATAAAAAAAAAAAAAACATGCATCCAAACATTTTTGGCCTTTTATACGGCAATCTGCATAACCAGAACACCCACAAAGGCAAGCTCCTGTTTTGAGTCCCAAGGACTCTCCTTGAGTTGTGTCCAAATCTTTTAACACACATCAACAACCAACAACTGACACTGTACGAAGGTGTGAAGCTGATCTCTGGTGGCACACTAAGATTTATTTTCTATATTTCCTTTAGTATTTCCTGACGGCTGATATTTTCCACTTCAGCTGCCGTTTATGCGCATTTCCCACAGGAGCACATAAATAACATGGACATATATAGATGAACTTTAATATGTGGTTTCCGATTGCAGGACAAAATCCACCATGATTTCCCACAATAAGCAGGCAATAACTAATGTTTACCAAACAGAGCTGTCCGCTTGTAATCTTTGTTTTTGTGGACGTCCACGCCATTTGCTCTCATACTCCTTGTGAGTTTGGGCTCAAACTTCTGAAGATAGGTATGAGAGGCTGCCATCTCCAATGAAGAATGATAGATAATGTTGCATATACACTTTTTATGCCATAACATGTATGCAGTCAGGGACTTTTTTATGCTGGTGCATCCGCTAATACAATGGGATAAAGCCTTTCCTAATGCCAGAAGCAGAGTGTTTACCCCCTCGGCTAAGCATGTACTCAGAAACTGATTTATGTCCAGAATTATTGCTTCCTCCACGGGGACACCCAGTACGAACTAACAAGAGGTGGCATTAAACTATATCCTACAGGCAGAGGCGGGTGAGGGTTTGTGCTGAGCATAACGTTTTGAGTGAGCTGCTAGCTGCCATGCAGAATGGTGCCACTGTTCTTTTCTATGGATTACTACTACAGTGTCAGACTTTTCATGCGAGATTTTCTGGTCTGTAAGTTTGAAAAAGGAACATAGTGACTGATTCCTTCCCACAGCTCTGAACTTGGCAAAATTAGTTATGTCATCCACCGACTCCAAACGCAAACTGATTAATACCTCAGACTGTTTAAAATTCATTCATTATAGTATTGACGTGACTGATTTAAGGCTACCTCGAATAAAAGTCAGACGTGAGGTGTTTTTTTTTTAACTGGCACACGCCAAAAAAAAAGTGTTCTCAGTCACAAAGTAATAGAATTGATCACAGTTCATAGAACTATGTTGTTCAGCACTTTTGGGGTCCTTCCTTGGAACTATACAGTGTCGTCCAGGCAGCATAAACTCTGATTAGTGTACTGCTATTGAAATCTCAGTTATATTCTAAAAAAATGTCAAATAGTATTGTCCAGTTATGATATCTTTGAGGCTTTTTTTTTTAGAATGTGTCTTTCACTGCCTTGGAAAAAGTTCCTCCTTCCATGCACACCTATTCAGCCCTTTTGAACATCCAGGCAACATTCCTCTTTAGTTCCACTTCATCCAGGTGTTTGCGTCTCTGGCGTCATTGCCTCATCCTCTTTGACATCAAAGCGGAGGTGTGCTGTATGCTCTCCATGTTGAAGAGGGTGTCATGGGAGAGTGACCGCTGGAGAAGCAGGTCCAGCCCCGGGACAACGTGGAGCCACCTGAGAGGTTTGGTCAGAGCTGCCCACTGTAAAGGTTGAAGGAGGTGATATCTTAACAAGAGACCATAGAGTATTCAACAGAAAACCTAATACACTTACTAGTGAGCTGAAGAAGAGTATTACCTCATGTTTGAAGGACGGCTTAAAGTATCTGTTAATGTCTTGAGATACAGTAAAATGGAAATACAGCTACCCTCTAGCTTATAAGGCTTTTCTCACTCCCTGTTTTTATCATACAACAAACAGAAATTAGAAATAGTTAGTAAGCGCTTTGTCAACAACAACGCTGCTGTTTTCCTCCAGTTGAATCATCTCCAGTCCACTCTGTTAGAATTGAGCTGAGAATTCTTTCTAAGAACAAAATGTTCCTTCTGTTTCTACAGGAAGTTTAAAAAAACAGGGTTCTGGCATGCAAATTCCAAATTCGCTAAAAGTCTTTAAAGGTCTTGGGAAAGCAATGACTCCTGAGGGTTAATGGTCCTTACAAGTAAAATGAGGCTAAAAAAAAACACACCGGTAAGAGGACTACCTGTTGGCCAACCTGCGTTTAGTCTTTGTACAGAACTATGTTGATTAGTTGTTTGTTACAACCCTATCAAAGGTATCTTATGATTCAGTAGTGCTTGGAATGGAGAGTATACTCCCATTAAGTGTTCTGGCAACCTGTCTAGCATGTGCCCGGCTTCTTGGTGACATCTGGGATAGGCTCAAGGCCTGAATTGGATTTAGTGGGTATATAAAGTGGATGGATGGAAGTGGCCTACTTGGATATAAATCATCTGTTTCAGTTTGCACATTATGACACTACCTCTTGACCTAAAGGAGTATGATTTTAGATAAATGAGTAGATTTTATGCCTAAACCTGACCAACTCATCCACTAAAAACAACTTTTATCAGTCAGAAAGCACATCTACACAACTACTAAAACAAACCCAAATCAAATCATTGTATCAGTCTGATGAAAGTAGACTTTTAAAGTGCGTATAGATATTTTCCATCTGAATCAGACTCAAATGGGTGAAGGCAGATCTTCCTTCAGGATCATTTTGATGAACTCATATTGACAATGATCTCCCATAGGGACTGAACAAAGAGGCACACCAACTTTGTGTTTTCTTACATAGTCCTCTTTTCAAACTTACTTAGTCGATGTCTGCATTCCCCTCCCATGTATTTATACTCTGGGTGGTCCACTGGGCAACATACTGACAGTGGTCCAATTAAATGGTACGGTTTAGCTGTAACAGTAGATTGATTAAACTGTGCATTTAATTACAAAGACACAATTACAGAGAAGGAGAGGTCATGCCACAACCATCCTTGGAATAAAAGGAATGTTTAGTGGCACATGCTGAAGATAAAATATTGAAGATACTGTGTAGAATTGTAGAGTCTACTTATAGACAAGGCAGCAAATCCTGACTTTACACAAAAGTGCACACAAGCAAATTAACTCCCACGAATCTCATTATCATTTTTCATCCTTTACTTTTTTCTTGCACATGATTACGGGGATAGCTCTACAGATGAATGGAGTCTCACAGCACTTCATCCAACCAGAGGAGTGATTATCATATTTAACAGGTGAAAGAGTTCACATTTGGCGGTTGAAGGGATTTGGGGAGGGTCAAGAAGAAGATTCCCGTTTGTCTCATCAGATTTTCCCCTGAAACCTTTAAGAAATATTAAAGGAATTCAAGCACCCTGTTGACAAAACCTTTGAGCACAAAGTAATGTTGCATCAACAAACTTTCATCCTAAACATTTATGTCGGGCTGCATGCTGTCCTTTATTTAAGGGTCAGCGTTTCTGCCCTCTGCTCTGTCCAGTTGCATACCTGAACTGACACTGCAAGTAATAAAGAAAAACTTCCTTTGATCTGATGTCCCACCCAGAGGCTTTCCCTCCTAGAAGACAATACTCTAATTCATTACCGGACCATCCTCTTCAAAGCTCAGCCACTCTTCGCCGGGAAACTCTAAACTTAGGCCCCAGACAGGCTCTTTTAAACACCCACTCAGCCCCCCTGGGCACTGAGGTGGCGGCTGGATGAGTCCACATAAGTCACGGTAGCCTGCACATATCCCCTCCTCAGCCCTGCAGCACCACACCTATCCCCCTCGGGTGACAGGTGGATTATTAGGCATTGGTATTTCTGCATTCTCCTGTCCAGTTACAGGTGAGTGTGGGAAACGCCGCGTGGAATCTGCAGAGATTTGATTCTCTCGCATTACTGATGTAACGATATCTTTGTGTCATTAAATTACATAGATTAAAGCGATAAGAAGTTGTTGTTTTTTTTTTAATCAGAAGTTGGCACAACGCCTTATACTATTTTGTTACATCTCTCGGAACCCATCACCGTTTTATCCCGTCCACCTGAAGCATCACCTTCCACTTAGCTGGGTTTGTTGTTGTTGTGTAATCCCTTGTTATGGCCTCAAATGCACGATTGAGACCCATTGAGCCGCTTGTTGTGTAGAAGTAGTTTGACTTGTCCAGGGATGGTTATCAACTGCAATGTGTTTGTGCCTATTGCTGAGCCACAACTGAATCGGTTTTGCTCACATTTTTTCTTTTTGTCTCAATTGTTGTGAAACTAAACACATGAGAAAAAAAGAACATTTTAGGGAATTCTTAGTTTCAGTTCAAATACAGGGGCTCCTTTAGAGTAGCAATGAAGATTAACACTCTCTTGTTTAGGTTCCCATATAAACAGAGATATGCTCTTACATAACTTGATATGCTTAAGTGGAGATCACCCCTTGGGTGGTAAGAAGTTGAAAGTGTCAGGAGAGCCTGCACATCTCACCATCTCATTTTTCTTCTTCTCTTCCTCAGTGTCTTTCTCCCTGACCCTGTTTACCCGTGACTTGCCAAGTCTGATGTCAGCGTGCCACACACAGGGTCCCCGTGAGAGTGTACAGTTTCTGTTGTGACACCTGTTGCTCATTACACACGTAAATGATTGATCACCTGAACTTGGCAGGGCCGGTGGTGATGGAAGTCCCTGTTACAAGAGGGCTCTGCGATTATGTCAAAGTACAGGACACTTGGTGGTGCTGGGAACGGTGGAAACGGATACCTGCAATGGCCCGAGAGCGTGGAGATTAGCTTCTGAGCAACCGCCGTTTGGACCAAAGCCTCTCCCCATTAACGGTCCTTGAGAAGCGGGTTGCACAGGTGCGGCGAGATATCTATGGCTCTTTGTCAGGTCTAATCCCACACAACTTAAACCAAGAGTCAATGCGTGCACCTCTAAGCTGATTTTGTGACACCTGAGGGCTCTGGCCACTGAAAGAAGAACTCAGCTACTTTTGTGAAATGTGATTTGGCTAATTGATTTTCGAGTGGCCAGTCTGGAGCGCCCTAGGGGTGAAAAAGGCTCTACACCGGGACTGTGTCGAAAGATGAGGCCAATTCTTTTATGCGGCTGCACAGGTGGTGAAATTAACCTGCTGCAGCTTTAGTTTTCTGCTCTCAGGTGCAGGACTCCAACCACAGAATACAGACTTTTAACCTTGAAAAATAAGCCATGAATAAAGCCAGAAACCCAGGTTTGCTTTTTCAGATGGAGCAGGAACTTCTGTTTTCCCTCCTCTGCCTGCCAGCAGCTGTTGGCCTATTGGTGCTGGGACGCAGGTATGGGGCCAGTCTGAAGGCCAGCAGGGATTTAACCCCAATCTTCTCTTTCCCCTCACTGCCCGGCACGCATGGGCTGCACAGCTGCTTTCCCATTGATCTGCTGGTTAGCAGGAGATAGATTGGAAGGGAAATGGCTTAATTGACCACACTAACTGCTGGAATGCAAATAGCCTCCACTGTGAAGAGAAACTTACAATTGTTTCTTCTACTACAAACAAGCGTACGATGAGAAGCTTAAGTGAAGGTGAGAAGCAAAATATAAAAGAAAATTTTTAGATCATGCCTGTGCTATGTTTCACCTGCTGTTTCAGTAGCATTGGGAGACAGGAAATTTCCCATAACCCAACATATTATACTGCTTGTTTTTTCTCCAATAACAATATGTCACAATGCCTTTTGCCAGGCAGAGATCACAGATATGGACAGATGAAGGGTCCTGACTTATGTAGAATAGGTAAGGGATGAAAGAGTTAAATGCAGAGGCGTATGTACCTGTCTAACTTTGATCTCTGCCTTAGGTAGCTCTGTCAGAGACATCAGTCTTGGCAGGGAAGCCGGTCGGCTGCTCCCTCTGACGCCGGGCTTGCTCAGACTGAGACGCTTTCTTTGCCCCGACAGAGCAGTGAGAGGACAAAATGTATGAGAAAGGCTGTGACCAGACTTCAGCTGAGTTCCTTTTTTTTTTTTTTCTTACAATTTTTTGTTTCCATCCAGTTTGATTGTGTTTACATTTTCCTATTTCTGCTCCTGTCTTTTTTTTCCAACCATCAAACAAAGCTGCTGATGGAAGGAGCGCAAGGATGCATGCAGAGACGGAGCAGAAAGGGCGTGTTTTCGGTGAGGTTCAAAGATGAAATGAACAAGTCTCTGAGGCTTTGATGTTTCTTGGCAGGCTTCAGGCAGCCGCAGACAATCTGACGATCTGGGAGCAGGGGCCTTTTTCCAAATGCCTGGTGTGTCCTGGCCCCAGTTGTCTAACCCTCCAGTGACAAACGCTTTAATATGACAAGGTTAAACACCTGAAGCACTGCAGCGAAATGTCCCAGCCAGGCCAAGGGTCAGTGGAGCAGCTTCAATTTTCTTGTGAGCTTAAGATATCTGTTAGCTTACAATTCTTTTACACACAAGCCCTTTATCCTACAATTCTTAGGCCAATTCTTCAAAGAAAAGCTAATAAAAAAAAAATTGACCCTGTCAAAAGCTAATAGTTACAAAACCAAAACTGGTATTAAATCGCATATAATAAAAAAAAAATAGACAAAACACATTCCAAGTAATTAATAAATAATATGTATTGCAATAAAATATGTAAATAACAAAACATTATAATTGAATGATTATTATATTTCTAGATCAGCTTAGAAATACAGTGTGTGAGTCTTAATACCTCCGACTTTATTTATCTTTATTGTAAGGATTGTTAAATTAATTTGATATTTTGTATTTTCTACTTTCATAAAACTTCAATTCCTCATCACATGGCATCAAATGTACATACATAATGCACTGATTAAGAGTTTTAAAAAAGTAACACGATGTTGCCCTGCCCGATACACACCTACACGCATATCTTCATATCAATTTGCCAAGTTTTTTTTTTTTTGTGTGAGAGACATTTGATAAGCAGCAAGGTAGAAGCTGGGTCCTGTGGGGCCATTGTGTCCCATTGTAGGTCACAATGGAACTTAACACTTGACAGAGCCGGGGCTTGTTGTCAGGAGCTGAACTTGATCCTGTCAAGTTGTTCTCATTGAAGAGCTATAAAGAAAGGGCTTTGACCTCACGATTGGGAAAGCTCCATGTACAGCCAGGTATGCATTTGCTGTTAGAATGTTATGCGTTTCTTGTATTTGCCACATTTTATACATCGATCTGGAAACCTGTGGTTGCACTTGGATGATTTTAACAACCGCTTTTTTTATGAGGATCTATGAGTCTGTTGACAAGTCACCTAATCTAGAAACAATTCTGAGATTGCACTTCACACTTGCTCCCACCTTGCGCCTTCCAGGGTTTGTTTCCCCCCCGTCACCTCTGGCATCTTGAACTGAGGCCTGTGTTGCACACTGTTGCCCTGCAGACCACAAAAGGGGGTTCACGTTACCACGGGGGGCAGGTAACTTCAGATGGATAATCCTTGGACCTGGTAAACCGGTCTTTAACAGGACCCGGTGTCTAAACCTGGCAACCTCGAGCCATGTGTCATAGTGTGTGTTGACAAGGTGTGCGTTAGCTCCCCTGGGTAAATCATTGTCTAGTGTGTTTAGCATTTGAACCTCCATCTGTCATCTCAGCTCTTCTTGAGATGCATAGCCCAAAAAGAATGTTTTACACATTTAAAATCATTTTCTTGTTTGACCACCTGCAGCTTGCTGAAGCTGAGGGCTTTCTCGTTGTTTTATGGGCATGGTGGATCTTTTTATTGGGGTTTGAAGGGTTCATTTATGGTCTGGCATTGCCTATGCAGCCTTGTCATCACAAAAAACCTCAGTGGGTAGTTAAAAAAATCAAAATACTGCAGGAATGTGACATCCTTATATATGTCATGAATGCTTGTAAACAGTGGGGAGATCACAGCTGGGTCTGACCTCACTTAAACTCATGAGTCAGGATCCACGCTGTGGTGCCACCCTCCTGTCCCCACTCATCCATGCCAGCTCCAGCCTTTTGTTTTCCCATGCCTGCCTCTTCTGGACAAGATTTACAGTGGAAAAATATAGTCCCCCCCACCCCCCCACCCCCCTCTCATGTTGAGCTGGTGAGTCTGGAATGTGTGTTTGGGCAAGATTTTGCGAGGAGTGTGAAAAAACAACAGAGCTGTAAACACCAAGGGTAGACCCAGACTGGCTTCTTTGTTCCAGATGTGGAGCAGGCCCACGCTGTTCGAGAGGCTCCAGTCAAGCCCGAAAACTCCCGGCCACGGCTGTCCCGCTGCCCGCCCGTCCACCGTGCTCCCGCTGCAGCCACACACACACACACCGATTACTGCCCCGCCACTGCTCACGCACCGACGTGTGTCCCTATAACTGGTACCAAATGCGTCTCTGTTCCGCACACCAAGGTGCTGTTAGTAAAACAAGGAGAAGAGAAAAAATCAGGCTCGCGTAATTGAAACACATGACCGCCACTCTCCACAAATGATGGCGTTTAAATCAGATGCCCCGCGTGACACCGAGCTCAGGTTGCACCGCAATGACTTATAAACGCGTATTACGCATAACGAATTCCAGACTTTTCCCTTTCGTTTTTTTTTTTTTTTTTTTTGGGGTCTCCGTTCAGCCAATCAGTTAAAAGTTTAAGCCTAACCTTCTGCAGCGGCGGCAGCGCGTGATGCCGCTGTCATCCATCCACTGTCTGGCAACAATTACACCGCTGCACAATTTGAAGCTACGGCCAGAAAAAAGAAAGAAAGAAGACGCACAATTTCCCACCTAATACAAATAACTGTTACTTTGTTTTGTAGACTTGAATCCTATTTTTTAAAATTGATTATGAGTCATTAAATTGAACACAAACTTGTGCTATCAACAAATGGATCACTCTCGGTGAATATTGTTATTTTAACAATTACATGATCCTTTTTAGTGTTGACCATCTTACTGTTGTATTTTTGCACGTACACAGTCATAGTATCTGTTTTATTCATATTTAGATGATCAAAAATGTTCTTTATTCATTTCAAGTGTTTATTTTACATTTCCAATTTAAATCTGACCACGTTTTAACGTGTCCTTTCACTCCACATTAAAACGTGGTCAACAGTTAACATGTGAAAAACAACTCGTAAATATGTCTCCATGGGAAATATATCATCGAAATAAAATGTTATATGACAATTAATACATATCTAATATTAAAAAAAAAAACTTCAATTTGATCGAATTTGCAGTGAATAAAAAAAGAGAATATTTTATCTTAATAGTTAAGAGGAATTCTTGACTGTCTTTTCGCCATATTTAATCTTTTTTTTCTCAAACTCTTAGTAGCAAAGTTTTTCTGTCCAAATGAATAGACAATAAATAATTCAGCTCCCCAACTTAAAATCAAAAAAGATCACTGAATGTGATGTGAAAATGTTCCACAAAAATTATCCGTTTTGTCCAATAAACAATATTTTGGAGGAATAGCTGAAGGCGAAGAACAAAAAATCTAAAATGAAAGAAAAGATAATTAATCAAGGTTAAACTTATTTATACGTTTTGAAATGGACACAAAGCCTAAATATATGTATACAATTTTAAAAGGAACACATGCTGACTGACCACTCATTCAAAGGAGTCGTTACAATGCAGACATTTTTAACAATGCACTTAAAAAAAAAAAAAAAACCTACATTTTAACTCACGTGAAAAACAATCCAGTAAACTGGACTTTTTCATATACATTTGGTCAGCATGGAGCAGAGTGGAAAACGTGGCCCTGCCTGTGTCAGAAGCGTCGTTCTGCTGACGTGTGACACATGTCCAGCAGCTCAGCTGTGGCCGGCTGATGGATGACCCTCCGGGCCTGGAGATGTTCTGAGGAGGGATTAGAACCATCAACCTCTGCTCCGCCGCGGCTCCACCTTCCCTCTCCTCTTCTCTTTTCCCCCTTTCTTTTTCTTTTTTTTTTGCCTGAAGCATAAAAACAGTCATGTAAAAAAGAAAAAATGTCAGTCCTTTTGTTTGTGTTGGCTTTGTAGATGCTGAAGGATTGGCAGCAGCCTTGTTCGGAGTGTCTCGGTGATAGACGCCTTATTTTTTAACCTAACGGCAAAGACGAGGGGGAAATTGGGTCATCACGGACACACAAGCATCCAAACACGTGAAAGGGGGGGCTCTCTTTTTACGGCCTAGTCTGGTTTGCATCTGTAGAGGAAATTGGGTTAGTTTTATTAGATATTTTCATGTTTTTTTTTTTGTTTGTGGAGCTTGGTCGTGCTTTGATTTGTTGTTCGGTCACGCCCCATCTCAGCTTCTGACTCATCCTGATGTTGGATGTGGACGCGAGGCCTTTTCACTATAACGTCCACTAAAACACGGCATGCGTTCTCTCATCTCCTGACTCCCTTCAGGAGTGGCCCGGGCCTGGGCCTGGCCCTGGTCCTGGTTCTGGGCCTGGTCCCGGGCCTGGGTTTGGCCCCGGGAACAGCGGTTTACTTTAAAGAACACGGCGTGCCGGCGGGGAACATCCCGGCAGCTGCCAGGGAATGCGCGTTTGCTCACAAAGAATGCTGTGACTCCGCATCTCAACAGCCTGACGGACGGACTCAACTGCTATAGTGCGTGCGTGCGCGTTGCGCGTTTTGGGGCGTGCGCAGCCCGGTTGGGACACACCTTTGCAGACGCACGCTTTTGCTAAATGTGCTGCGAAAAAAGAAGACGCCAGAAAGTCTGACCTTGATTCACTCGCCGTGACTGGTTCTGACGTCACCCACGTCGCGTGCGTTGATAGAGAGAGACCCATCCCTGCTCCGTGACTGCGGGGCTCGACTCTGTTCTTCTCCCCATAATGCAGACATAATTACAAGCCTTAAAGAGCCCTCCTCGCCTTGTTTTCTATTACTGTCTCTCCGCGCGTACCTTTGCGCTGACACACACTCGCATCCAGCTCTCAGCCCTCTTTTTTTTCAGCTGTTCGGGGGCGCGCAACATGCCCACGGGCCCGCTTGTCTTCAAAGGGCCATATTTTGTGCTCATTTTCGCCCATTCATGTGTCAAAAAGGCTGTGAACTTCACAGGGCCCGAGTTGTTTTCCTGGCGATAACAAAACGGTTAGAACACGCACGCAGCTTCCGATGCAACCCCCCCCACCAGTTGTTTTTATATTTCACCAGTGATATCGCAGTAACTTATTAATAGCCCACAGGATTGCGCTTTCCAGTGGGGATTTAGAGGCCCACATGCGTGAAGTCATAAATTTCCTCTCCCTCCTTTTGCAGCCATTATTTTTTCCCCCTCTCTCTCCCTTTTTTGAAAATCTTTTTTTTTGTTTTATTGTCACTGAATTTTTTTACTGTGATAATAATTTGTGGCTTTGTTATGGCTGAACGGTTGGCTGAGGCCTGTGGGGAAATCGGGAACCGGTCCAGCCCCCCCCCCCCCCCCCCCCCCCCCCCCCCCCCCCACAGGCCCTTAATGCTGCTGGGGAGTTGCAGGCGCAGGGTAGGACATGACCAAAATGACTGGGTTGGACACCAGCTCATGCACCACACTCCAGCCCACCAAACGCTCTGTTTGTAATTCCGCCGCACTTGTGTCATCCATAAAAAGTTATGAACAGGACCTCTCATCCATCTGAGGGGAAATGCGACCCAAACTGCGCTGTGACACGTCGCCACCGTGTTTCCAGTCACTGCTTTTTTCTCCACCTGCGGATTTATTCGTTCAGGGTGATGCTGGAATTATGGGACGTGAGCTGGCAGCACAGTTACACTTTTCGTCCTACTGGCCCAAACTTTCCCTCATAATTTAAAAGCTCTGACATGCAGCTAAAAACAAAAAAGAGCCCTGGATTTTTCCTATTAGATAATTTCTCGTCACATTTGATTATTTTAGACTGCCAGATGCAGACAGTATTACAGTAATTGTGATTGCAATGCTTTAAGTAAACTTTGATGATACATTTTTCTAATTCTTTAATTTTCTTTTAAATAAATGGATAAATAAGATGGCCACGTCTTACCTCAAACTGGACTAATTTGCACATAACTCGAACTAAACGACCAGGAAAAAAATATTGCTCACCATTTCCAAAACAGTAAACGTTTCGATTTATGGTCTTCACCTTCTGTCCACTCGATTAACTTTCGAATATATTTTTCCAACTTTGAAGGGTTTTCTTCACAATTTTGGAAGGCAAATCTATTAAATAAAAGTTGGAAATAGTTTTTGATCAAACTCATTTGCTCAAGAGCTTTTGCTTTGGGAGGAGATGCAATAACAGGAATAAGATATTTTACCGAAGCGTTTTAAAAAATGAGAGACATAAATGTAATTATTTGATTAGAAAAAACGGATCGACCTGGGAATTCTGGGGAGTTCTTTTTAAATCAGTTTTACCAGAAAATAAGGTCGTTATTTTAAAAGAAAAATCTATTTGCTTTAGACTATCAAAAGAAGAATAAACAGCGATAAAAATCCATCTGTTTTGTTTCTGAATGCTGCTGAAGTGCAGACTCATTCTGTATGACAGCAGGAAACAGAAAACATCAGCGATGTTTTGGGCTTCTTTCGCTCCTCTGAAGCTATGCAGGTTATTCTGTGGCTCTGAGTTCTGTTGGTTTGTTTTTGTTTTTTGATAAACACCGAATTCCAGCGTTACCCGTTCCATATTATTCTGCTGATCTGCGGGGGGAGGCGCCTCCCTCCATCCTGCGCCGCATGTTAATGAAGTTCACGGTGGAGCTCCAGTGACAGCCGGCTGCTGAGCACCAATCAGAGAGCGCGTTGATGGAAATGTGCAGTGTGTTTGAGGCTGTGCAGGCAGGAGCTCTTTGAAGAACCATGTCAGCTCCTCTTCTGATGTAGGCAGGGACACCTCTCGTTTTTTTCCACCCGTTTTTTCGCCCCCCGGACACCTTGCGAACATGCCCGGCCTGACGCGTTCCTCTGGGGGGGCTTTTTTCTCGAGCTCTGCGTTGGATTTTATGCTGGATTTGCTGCAGCTTTTCTCTGCCGCGCGGCAGAACTCATGAGACCCTCTTCAGAGCGACGGCTTTATGGACTCGCGTATTAGCTAATGATGTCTGTGGGGTTCATGCCTGACAGTCTGAATGGCTCCGATCCCTCCAAATCGGCCTTTTTAGAGTTCGGCCACGGACATCCGGCTCACCAGCAGCAGTCCCCGGGGCTCCCGCACATTTACTCCGTTCATGGCCTGCACGCTGCCGGGCATTCCCAGCACGAGGGTCCTTTCCCGGGCAGCGCGTCCTACGGCCGGCCTCTGGGCTACGCCTACCCGGGCCCCGTGAACACTCACCCCACGCCGGCCTACATGTCCTACCAGCACAGCAGCCACAACGGAACCGGCGGCCTGCCCCACGCCAGATTAGAGCACACAGGTAGGTTAGAGAGCCAAAGCAAGCGGGGGTAAACTGTGTTATGTGTATAAGGTGGATGTTCCATCGTGGCACCATTACGCACCGCGCCTTAATCCCCATGCCAGTGTTTAGGACGTTTTTTTAAAAAGTGTTTTCTTGATATAAAAGTCTACATCAAGTCTAATAGCCAAAGCACGAGGAATGTATTTACGCACCAAGTCAATAACTGACAAAGAGGAATGAGGAATGACCACTCTCTGTGGGAGAGAATCGCCCTTTGACGTATACGCGATAGTTGAAAATTGTGCCATTAATCTTTACTGATCATCAATTTATTTGCGTTCTTAACAAGATCTGACTCACTTTAACTCGCACCTTTTGGTGGATTAAGGCCGTGATCCCAGACAAGAGAACTCTTGACTCTGTAAGGCTGCGTGGGAGTTGTAACTCTGAGAATGTGTTGAACTTTTTTCATGTCGTGTGAAGGCATTATTACCACCAAAAACTTGGACGGCATTCACTTTAAGGCTAAATTAGAGTAGCAGTTATGAAGTAATTGTGTCAGGGTGCGTTTATTGCGTTTACTGGCTGTCAGGCCCTATAGTTCCCTCCTGCTCTCTGGGCCTTCCAGCTGACGCGTTCACAGACTGTGACCCATTTTGATTTGCATTTAAAATGTAAAACTAAGTCAAACTGCAGCAAAACTTGCTGTTAAATGCTCCAAAGCGAATGTATTTGCTTTAACAGAGGTGTTGAAATTCCTCTGAAATTTGAATGAATGTGTGTCTGCGCACCATGGATACAATATCTGAATACTTTCCTTTGACTAAACTCTGCTTATTTCTCTCCAACCTCCGCAAGATCGGGACAAATCCACGGTGATCGAGAACAGGGATATTCGTCTGGTGAATGGCAAGGGGAAGAAAATCCGGAAACCTCGTACCATCTACTCCAGTCTGCAGCTGCAAGCCCTGCACCAGCGCTTCCAGCAGACCCAGTACCTGGCCCTACCGGAGCGCGCGGACCTGGCGGCCAAGCTGGGGCTCACCCAGACCCAGGTGGGCGTTCAGGGCTGACGCACACAAAGTGGACTTTCGTTAGGGCTAAAACCCATTAACAAAAATAATTTCACATTCTCGTATACGTGGTTGTTGGCGCACCCCTCACAATCCTTTTTAAAGAGCGAATTAATCTGGGAGGCCGTTTCACGCTAATATTACTAAGACGACTTAGACTGAGGCTTTTATGCGCAGCATTAAAAGGGATCACGCAGCTCCTACGCATCACATGAAAAGCAAATTTGTCACCTGAATCCTTTAATTCAGCTCTTATTTGCTTCGTTCTGTGACTATTTCCTTTGTCAGTGGTCGCTCTTGAAGTGGTCCTCTGCACAAAGCACGCAGCCAGAATTACACGCGTGTTCCCAAATAATAGAAGAGAGAGAGATATGCAACAATAATACAAAAAGAAATATACAATTTTAGCAGGAACCTGAGCGACTGCCATGTCTTTTCAAAAGTCTAAAATGATTTACTTTAAACCTGATAAGATCCCGTCTTAATTCTTCTCTTAATGTCTTAAGTAACTTCACAAGTACATGCTTGCTTTAGTTTTTCTTAGTTTTCTTTTTTCTTTCCCGAAAGTTGTCTCTCGGGGTCAGGGAGGTTGCTCGTGCACATTTCACACGCAGTGACAATCAAGCGTGCACGTGCGTCTGAGAGGAGGAGGAGGAGCAGGTGCACGCGCCAGGTGAAGGTTCCCAGGCCTTCTGGAGTCTCTCCGCGCTGTTTGTTTCCCCTCGACTCTCAGCGCGGAAATGCCGAAGTGGTCTGAATCTCCAAACAAGAGATGAACAATGAAGGGAATCCTCCGCGCTGAGCTCCCGCACATTATGCTTAATCCCTCCACAGTTCTCGCCACAATCATCCCCCAGCTCTGTTTCCTTTCGTGCTGGCGTCGGTGCAGCTCCTTTGTCTCTTTTGTGACTCTCACACCACTCCTAATGAGTTCAAAATAATAATAATTCCAAATTCCTGACCTATCAATGCGCTTTTGAGATTAATTCTTCATTCTCCCGTTTGTGTTTCGTCGCTGTCACCGTCGTGTTCCTCTGCATTAATAAGGCAGAGAACAATAGGACAGCTCAGCCTAATGGGTTACAAGTGTCAATCAAGCATTTAAGTAGGTGTGGGGTTACAAAACAACACGCATAAAAAAAGATACGTTTCTGTTTCCATTATCCTCACTGCACGCATCATACAATTTAACAGGTAGCCCTGAGTCTAATTGGAGGGGAATATGCTGGTAAAAAAAAAGCACTGATAGTGGTATTTACAGGATTGCTCACCACAGTGTTCTCTCGTTTATAGGTGAAAATCTGGTTTCAGAATAAGCGATCCAAGTATAAAAAGATCATGAAGCACGGCAGCGGACCGGAAGGAGAACACTTCCACAACCCCAGCTCCGTCTCGCCCTGCTCGCCCGCTTTGCCCCAACTGTGGGAGGTCTCCATGACGGGCAAAGGAGCCCCCGTGCACCCAAACAATTACATGAACAGTTTTGGCCCCTGGTATCCAAACCACCACCCTCACCAGGACGCCATGTCCAGGCCTCAGATGATGTGAGGGGATAGTTTTTGGAGCGGCACTTCACGCCACGATGGACTGGTTGCCTCGCGAGGCCTATCGGAGCTGAACTCTGTTTAAAAGCGTGATTAACAGACTTTATTCACTGTGTTTCGTGTGAGCTTTGATTTCAGTTTGTTTTTCAGAGTTTGCTTTGTCTCTGCAGCTCCTTGTGTGTGCAGCATAAACAAAACTCTCCATAAAGGTATCTTTGAAAACAATTTGTCTTCACAGATTTACTTCATTGGTAAACGTCTCATACGTGCACCACGTTCACAACTCGTCTTGTTTGGTTGCCACTTTATCAGAAAAAAAATCACCTTTAAATCATTTCAAAGATGTCTGGTTTTCTTCCACCAAACCTCAAAAGAGCGAACGTGCGTCTAAAGGGAGACCGGATTAATGAGGCTGGGAGACTCATTTATCTTGTATAGACTTCCCAGATCTCCAGATAAAAATAGTTTTTTCCTGATTTACTGGAAACTCCGGACTTTTGCTGAGAACCGCTCGTCTGTGATGCTGCCTCGTATAATTGTAGGCTCTCTGCCATCTGTTTTTCGCTCTTGTCACCTAAATAAGTATCTTCTTTCAGCTCATTTTTGTGGATCAAGTTGATCTATTTGTATATAGAAAGGAAATCAGTTGCTTAATAATATTCTGTCATCCGATATTGTAGAATGCTCATGTTAGAACTGAGCTAAATGTCCAACTTGGATGAAAGAAGCAATCCGAGTTGCTACTTTTACGCATGGCACTTGAATGCAGCTTTTACGCACGAATTTTGATCCCTTTGAAATGGTTGCGTTAAATATGAAAGTCTTTGAGATGAGATTTTGATTTGGAAATGTGTGATTCAGCACACAGCACTCATGTTATTTCTCATCAAAGACAAACCCGTTGCTTGAGAACTTGCAGAAGAGAGCACACGCAAGCAAATCTTTGAAGGTGATTATCCTTCTTCTAGTGATCTCAAACAGAAAAATCGCCGCTGTCATAATCTAATGATAAATGACAGAGCCGTCCTGTAACCGAAGGGCGCCTGGTTTGTGCATCGCTGCTCATACTGTTTCATCACAGAGAATTAGGTATTTATGTCTCTGCAAACAGTTTGCCGCAATCCGGGTTGATGCTGCTAATTATATGGAGAGCTGATTTCTGATTAATGGAGCTGAAAAGTGCGTTAGAGAAACATTCAGTGGCTTTCTTTTATCTGTTTCATTCATCACTCCGCTTTTTTGTTGCTGTCTGGCAAACATTAGTAGCAATTTTGTCTGATGTCACACTCGGGGATTAGAAAAATAACCAATCATACCAGTCAATTTTCCTGGAGATGTTTACACTAATTATTACTAGATTAGCTGTTGCTAAGAAGTGCTCTCGTTCAAATTCAACTTCAAGGGTTCGAAACGTAGGATCCTAAAGGGTTTTTTTCGTGCATAAGCAGTGAGATATTTAGCCATCCATATCAGAGTCAGTCGGTTCAGTTTGGATCACGCGTTTTTCTCAGCGGGGCTTTTGGTGAAGCCGTTCTTTTCAACGTGCAACTGACTTTTTCATTACAGCAAAAAGGAGAAAAAAAAATGCTAACACACTCCACTGTATTCCAAATCAACATCCCCGCCCCTCCCCCGCTCCCACGCTGCTCCCCTCACCGGAACACTCGGTCATTCATGGGCTGCGCGCGGGGCTTACCTGGACACAGAGGCGCAGCCTTGTCCAGGAGCTCTGAAGCCGTCAGTGGCGTTTCCGCGATGAACAAAGCCACTCCAGAGCCGCCGGGCTTTCACCCCTCCGCGCTGATTTTTCTCACATAACGACAAGCATTGTGTTACATTAACGTCCCCGTCTTTATATATACATCCACCCGCGCGCCCTTTTCCCTCATTCCTGCTCATTATGTGCCTTGTTAAACACGCAGGGGCCGGGGAAGAAGAGGCGAGCGATGCTTCACCAAGTGACGGGGCATCAGGGAAAATTATAGGCAATTTCACATCTCCAGATTAGAATAATGGCTCGTGGAGTTGGACAGAGAAGAGTGGGACCTTTCAAACGCGGGCCAATTATCACGCAGGCAGATTGAAGGGAAAGTGAAAAGGCTTCCCGTGTAATAGACAAGCTAAGAGGAGGGGATGGAAGGCCGGGAGACGGGTTGAAGGCTAATGATAAAGGCAAGTCTGACTTTTATCATGATGTTGATGGTCGGGATTAACAGATATGAGGTGTCTGATGGGTTTTAATTGCAGGATAGCAATAGGAGGGAAAGTAGCTTGTTATTAAATCCCAGTTGCTTTCAATGGGCGAATGGCATAGCAGGTCTCTGGCATGATTGTTATTATTAACTTGACTGACGTCCGGAATAATTGCTGGAAGCTTGTGGATGAATGGTTTGATATAAAGTAGGGCTTTTGGGGGCATGATTCATAAGAAAGAAAAAAGGGAGACATTAAAAGGTTGACTACAACAGGCTTTCAATGAAATACAATTGAATTACATTCAAAATGCTGGACTCAGGAATGTCAGTCATTAAAGAATGTAAAATAAAATGTATTGGATGTTATAGTTTCAGTTTGGGGGTGAAGGCCAGCTGCACTTCTTTGTTTATCAGGAGCTGTGCAGATTCACTAGCAGCAGCACAGTGTCCAGTCTGGACCTGTAAGGCCCTGCCCTGCCCTGCCCGGACTGAGGTCAGACAGGGTTCACGAGTCCACAGCTGTCATGGATGCACTTCTCCACTCATTTCATTTGAGTTTATGGCAAAACTGGAGACTGTGAGTGATGTTAATGCGGGGCCCTGGATGTTGGACAGCTGCTGACAGTCTTTCCGTGGACGCATTTTAGGCCCCGACCTCTACCTCAACCCATATCTCTACCCCCTAGAGACAAACGCTCACACCCCTCTGTTGACTGTTTGGGATTGGGGTGGGGGGGTCATCAAATCTATTTGGGGTGCTGTGATGTTGTGCCATGGAAGATCACATTCAAGTTCAATAGTTCACTCCACTCCCACCTTCATGGCTACTTACACTTGTAAATGTTTTGGAGATGACATATATGGGCATGTCTAAGTGTGGTGTGTTATGAGCATGTTTTCATTTTTTTGTTTTTTTTAAAGTCCTCAGCACAAATGTTTTCCCCTGACAGGCCCAGCAAAGGGGCCACACAGGCTGCCAGAGCCACTGGGGGGGTGGGGAGTGACACATGTACGTGTGATGACATTTCATTGATATTAAAAGGCAATAGTAATCATGGTGTTTTTGTCAAATCAGCACGCCACTGACATGGCGTGGACAACTGCTGCTGAGTACGGGGGTATAGAGCACTGGGGACAGGGGATTAGGAGCTGTGATACATTACACTGTTTGTCGCTAATTCTGTGAGAATGTGTTTGAAGTTTAGTTGAGAAAACTGCCCTGAAAAACTGCTGTCATCAATGTGACCAAAAATGGGAGGGGGAGCAATCTTTCTTACAATTCATTTGCTTTAAAGGTTGAACACTTAATAAGAATATATCGTGATCAGGCTTTGTAAAGGCATATTACTGATTATATAGATAGAAAATAACTTAATGTACCAAAAGTGTTTAAAAGCACTTTTGAGAAAGAAAAAAAAAGATTATATATATATATATGTATGTATGTATATAATCTTATTTTTTTCCTTTCTCAAAAGTGTTTTAATATATACATATATATATATATATATATAGAGAGAGAGAGAGAGAGAGAAAGAGAGAGATATATTATTTTCAATATAATTTGGTTTGTTTTTATTGCTATGCTTTTAAGTACTGTTTTGAGAGAAGTCCCTCGAAATTCTGACTTGACACATGTGAGCGCTCGTATTTCAACCTAATTTAATGGAAATTTCATAGCAGTGGTTTTGGAATTAATAGCACCAGGAAGCTACTTGATTGCATTGTGTTACTTATAAATACGAGGTTTACGCATTTAGCAGACGCTTTTATCCTAGCGATTTACAAAGTAGACACCATTTTACAGTTATCATAAATATGAAAATAAATTCTCGAGAGGAAAATCTATAGTCAGTATGTTTATGTTTTTGCAAAAGGTGTTTCACAGACATTTGATTTCACTATTGTGCAAAATTCAGGGCAGGGTGCATTCTTAGAAATAACATTTTATATCACGAGCTCGACAAGAATTGGACATTATGAATGTATTCTATAGGCATGATAATGTTTAGGGCATAAAACAAAACAAAAGAAAAAATAAGTGTTGACACTGACAAACAAGGTTTCACACAGCAACACCTCCAACGCTGACTGCATACCAATCCTCTTACTCAGCCACAAAAGACCGTAAAACCACCGAGGCTGGGTGCGTTTTGCGTAATGGTGCATTGGTGGTCCATGTGGACGCGATCGCCATTAGCAGTTTCTCCATCATTCATACAACTTGTTTTAAGCATATTTAGTTTTGCAAGATGTGGTCAAACCGACTCGAGCTGTCACTATTAATCACGCAGAGACGGCGAGACAACATTTTTGAAATTTCTCTTTTTTATGTGACACTCCTGTCGTCGCTGCCGTAACAGTCATTAACGAAGCAGTTTGTCTGTCTGACATCTCCAAGCTCAGTTATATCGGTGTTTTCCCAAGGTTTCTAATGTGTACCAGGACCTGGCGAAAGCCTTTTGTTTTACCATAAACTTTAAAAAAAAAAACGCCCATACAGTACAGCCAAATAGCTAGAAGTCGTTGCTCTGGAGTTTGTTTATTAAACTTTCGGTGTATCGGGCTGGAAAGCAGCCACAAATCGCATGAAGTCTAAGTGTTGGCAGTGTTCCCATGCGCGTTTGATTCACCTCGTTCCCCTGCCATCTCCTTCCCTCTCCAAATGATCTCTTATCTGGCAGCAGAACAGTAATAAAAGTGACTGACTCCACCATGTCTGCGGGTGTGCGCGTCAAAAAAACGATCAAGGAAGTCAGTTGCAAACTCGATATGTCTGACAGTGACAGTAGAAGAAAAAACATGTTGTCTGAGCCTTTACATAGTTATAGTCAGCAAAATGACCCTGGTATAAAAAATTATGCATATCTGTATTTTTGGTTTATGTAGGAATTTGTTTCAGTTAAGTTTCCTTAAAAATGTAAGTAAAATTACAGCAAACCAATGAATTATCTCTTGTTTCACTACAAAAAAGTACGAGACTGATTTGGGATTAGTTGCTTCTATTGGAAATTATGCTTAAAGGCAGGCAATCTGTTTGACTTTATCCTTGGTTTCCCTGAATGAGAGATGGAATCTTTAGAAAAGGGCTTGACACGTAAAATACAATGAACACCTTTATTCATTTGACAGAAAGGCAACAAGTTGTCTAGGTACATGAATATAAAATGGTCTGGAAAGCACCTCGGTGCGGTCTAACCGGGTTAACAAATACGATCATAGTGGTTCTGATATAAACACGTATTTACAACCTTCGACATTTTTTGTACAAATCCATATAAATATGTCCTGAGTTTTTTTATTTTTTGTTTTTTACGCTATCTACAAACCCACGCTCACGAGTTGACTGCAGCATGGATCACCTGCACAGTTTTGTCAGTATTCGGTTTGTGTTCAGCTACTTGTTTTAAAAAAAAAAACAAAGAAAAAAACTTTGCATAATCATTTACAAAAGAAGGTCAGTATACATACAACAGCTATAAATAATTTAAAAAAACACGCCAGACGTCCGTTAAATATGCAGCCAAAAGTGATTAGAAATCCCTTATGTGCTTTGTGAATTGGAAACCCAGCTCTGAAACATTCTTGATTATCCAAAACCAAAAACAGCTTTTCATCTCAGGCCAGCTCCGGGTCCAGTCGGCATTTACTTTGCAGTGTCATTGTGGGGAGACCTCGTTTAAAAAAAAACAAGAAAAAAAGGAAGAAAAATATGCGATAAATTTGCTCTTAAGTCAGTGTTAATAAACGGCTCCCACGCTTTGCTGCGGGACTGTGTGGTGCACGGTGCCCGGGTGCTGTAGATGGGATCCCTGCTGGTACCAGTGGTTGTTATAATCCTCCAGGTATGGCGGCGAGGAACTGTGCGCAGGCTGCGGCACCTGAGGTCGGCTGATCGGGGTGCTTTGGGGGGTGCTGTTGTCCCACACAGCCGGGGAGGGCGGCGAGTTGCAGGCCATGGAGTCGCTGGCGTTGGGACTGTGGTCCAAGGGTACCTCCCCGTTTTTGTACAGTTTCTTGAACTTGGATCTCCGGTTCTGGAACCATATCTTGACCTTAGAAGAAACATATGATTATTAATTACGATGTTGTTGTTGTTTTTTTTAAATAATCTGATCTTTTTTATGTGATGGAGCAAAAACTGACGCGGTTTAAATGTAGGACCTGTGCGTAATTACGCATCAGCGGTTAAAAGTAAAGGGATAACTGCCGACCAAAATGGGAAGCCTGATTCTAGTTTTTTTAGACAGGAAAACAATTCAAGTGTTGGGTCAGGGCACGCAGCTTACCTGTGTCTGAGTCAGGCCGAGCTGAGCCGCCAGCTCTGCTCTCTCGGGCAGCGCGAGGTACTGCGCCTTCTGGAAGCGCCTCTGCAGAGCCGCGAGCTGGTAGCTGGAGTAGATCGTCCTCGGCTTTCGGATTTTCTTCGGTTTTCCATTCACCATGCGGACCTCTGGTTCTGGTTCTTCTTTCACTAAAAAATTAAATAGAAATATAGTTAAACTTGTTGTGTTTTTTAAAAATCGCCAAACGGTTGTGAACTCTAAACAACAAAAACGGATGATTATATCAAATTAGACTTTAAGTTTGCAACAGTTTTATTCAAGATAATGTGTTTATGGTAAAGTTGACAAACTTAATCTATACAAAAAAAATCCCCATGTGACTGAAAAACGTACATTTGAAAAAAAAAAGAGAGAAGCTGAGACTGTTAATAAAGATTAGCTAAAATGTAATTGTTTTACCTCAAATAGCTCAAATAATACATATTAATTATGGTAATATTAAACTGCAAAGTTTCCATCTATAAAGCCATAATTGTTTTATGGTCATTTAAGGGCTGGCTCTTTCGAGGACAGGCTGTTGAAAACAACCTCAAAACAAACTTAACAAAGGCACTTTTTACCTCTAAATACGCAATAAATCAACAAGGATGAGTCTCACACTAATCTTTTATCCTATTCCGAATATCTTTGAAAGAATATGGTTTAAGAAAGAAAAAAACAGCAGATTAAACATATAGCAGCTCGTGAGAGTGTTTTACATCTTTCTGACCACAGCATTGTAGAATGACGCATTTGTCCCCAAACAGTGACTTAAACCGAATGCAAATATCTGCTCTTGGCATGTGCACAGCGGGGATGCAGGCGACACAACTCAGCCTGTGATAGTATCGACATTTACCTGAGCCCGGAGGTGAGGCCTGCAGGTGATCTCTGTTGTAATGTCCGTACTGTCTGTAGCTGTTCGTGTAGGGGTATTCAGACTTGGTGGGGTACGCTCCGGCGGCTCCCATTCCGTTTAGGTTGAACTGGTGGTGGTAGGAGTTCATGGGCTGTCCGTACGGCTGACTCTGATAATACTCGTGGTGGCCGTGGGCCGTCTGTCCGCTGTAGTAGCCCATGTCCGTCACCGAGGACTCGGGGAGAGTAGGGGAGTCCTTGGAGTTCGGGTGGCAACTCATAGATCCAGGAAGATCGGTCAAAATGCTCGCGATTTTTTTCTCATAGGTCTGTCCGTTGCTCATCGTGAAAGCGGCACTCCAGAATGAAGAAAAATTCCTCTGCTGGGAAAAACGGCTGTGCGCGCGCGCTCTGGGGAACGCACTGCTTTGCTGAAGCTTATAGTCCACTGTGACTCCTCCAGCTGCAGAAAAACTTGGTTGTGGCATTGCTCAGCCCCTGTGTCACAGAGTTATAGAGAGCCGGGCTGGATGCCGCCTTCCCATTGGCTGTACCCCCCCCCCCCCCTCCCTCTCCCTCTTTTGCGCTCCGAGCGTGGTCTTGATGAAACCCAGCCTTAAGCCAGGAGCGCCTCTGCACTCGCTCCCTCTTGGCCTGAATACCCCCCTCCGCCCTCCCCCCCAACACACACACACACACGAAAAAAGCTTTACTTTTACCCTGTAGCCTGACAAACTTGCTGGTTTTCCTGAAGGCCTCAGTTTTGTGTTTTTTAATGTCACCACTCACCTCCATTTGATTAATTTCTCGTCACACCTCGTGCGCAGTGGCATCCTGACGCTGCAATACAGTAGCAGGCAACATCTTTTCTGAGGGCTAATCCCGCAGCCAGACTGTCTCCTTAATGTTTTTATGCAATGTTGTCTTAGCAGTGCCTAGAGATCACACTTCATTCAGCCCATTGAAAGGCGGGCAGCCGAGCCCCTACCGGGCAGCTTTGTCATTCAAAGGTGTTGGCGGACAGTGAACTTTATGTAAAAAAGATAAGTCGAGATAAGTAAAAGACTCGTTCAACTGATGTCGCCTGTGGGTAAATTCCTCCACTCGGTCGGTGTTATGTGTGCGTATATGCAAATCTGCTGTCTTACGAGAACAGTGGATGACGGAGGAGAAAAAAGAGCGGTCTCAGACAAAAATGGAAATAAGAAAAGTTTTTTTTTCCGTTTCGCTCTGAGGGACACGGGGGAACGAATACGTTTCCACGGTAGTAATGAAAGGACTCACAAGTTTTTAATCCTTTTTCATAGCAACCAGTTTGTCCTCTTTGCATGGCACGGTGCGCAGCGCCTCCCTGCTGCCTCAGTGGGAACATGTCCTTATGGAACATGCATGAATGACTCTGCACACAGCAAGAAGTACGGCTGGAATATGTTTTTATATCTGTAAACAGTGTTTTTAGTTAAGAAAACACAATCACTGGTTATTTATTGAAATAAATAAGCATCTTAAAACGTTTAACAGATTATGACGTTGAGACTTATTTGGCTCTTTGTGTCTGATGTGCTGCTGCCATCTTTTGGTAAGAATCTGTATCCAAACGATCTCTTCAAGCCATGGGTAAGAACACAGAGGCGTCTGTCTCTTTCTGAATATCAGGTTGTCTGTCTATCTGGATTAAAGTGGTGCCAAGTTAATTTAGACAGATTCCATTTAACTGAAACAGATATTTGATCAAATGTATGAAAGCCCTCTAAAACAAAAAATCTGTTTCCATATGTGATTGAGGGGAATATGAATCATCACTCTTCACTCACCAAAAATGACAAAATCCTTCAGCTTATAACATCTCAACATTGTTTTGAACCTGCAAGCGAAAAGAACAAGAAAGATGAGAAAACACAAAAAACTTAGTATTTAGTGGTGCATATTTTTGCAGTCCCATGGAGTCACCAGTAGATGGAACACACAAGCTAAAATCTGTGGTGATTTGAGATGGCTCTGATTACACTGGAAGGCACAGATGGATCACAGCGACACACCAAGGGGAGCCATTGAAATACACACAACAAAGAAGGCTGGGTTTTCTTTTTAAAACTGTGAGGGCAGTCTTTATGAGAAGGTCTGAATGGGGTGAAGATAAGATACTGATCTAAACTATTTAGGTTCTTGGGCTGAACATTTAATAAGTCTGTTAAAAGTCACTGATTTGAGCATTTTCTAAGTCCTCGAAGATTCAATCTATATATGCCCCCTTAAAATTCAGATAATAGGGTAAACATCTTCAAAAACTCAAATGAAAGATCTAGCTGACATTTTCAATTCTCTGACCGTTACCGTGACCTGGAAGCATTGGACTCTCCATCAGTATTTTTCAGGAGATATTGGATGTTCATGTCAGTTACTGTGCACTAAAGCTTCATTAAGTTATGGCTGCCGGATTATGGAAGAAGGAAAAAACATCTAAATTTTGGTACAAGGAGTAGATCAACTAGAGTTTGGCCTGTTGGTGTGTCAGAGGTTTTAGAGGGTGTTCTTAGAGAAGCTGATTCTTGAACAGGGTGGCATATGATATTGGATATGACATAATTTGATGATTAACACTGAATAGCTCTGATATGCTTGCATAGATGCAAGCATGGACTATTTTTTTTGGCATATGTGTCAGCAACCGTCCAAATAATGATAACTCTGTGACCACAAAAGAAGACATTTGAATTGACTTGGGTTATGTGACTTCATAAATAAATTAAAGATTCACTTAGTTTTTTCATTTTTCATTCCTTCCAAATATTTCTGGTTTGGGGACGTTGTTACATTCATATTCAGTTGTTCCAGGAAAAGAAAAGGATCCCCTCAAGAAATCTTTGGAACCTGTTGCTTTTGCTGTGTCTGATAAAGGTTGTTACAGCTATTGGTTTTATCCGCAGGGGACCCATTGACATGGGACATGTAAAACTGAGTAGGCATGAAAACAAACTTGGTCTTATTCTTATAATTGGAGTTTCTTGGTTCCTTTTGCATTCCAGTACAATTGCTGGTTTGATCAGCGGTTTGCTTGCTTCCAGTTGTATGTTGCAGAGTTTACTTCCAGTGTAATCTGAAGTATTTACTTCCCCTTCACTCCTTGTCTTCAGTTCTGTTTGTCACACCTTTTTGGTTTTTCAGTATGTATGCATTTCAGTGTTCAGTTTGATTGTCCTACTCAAAGCAATGCTTCAGTTAGACTAATAAACCCACTTATTTATTTTACCACAGGTCTCAGCCTGCTCTTCGCCTACAGCTTTGAATTTTGGTCCCGTTCTACCTTCTGCTCCACCATGAGTCAGGACAAAAAGTTATCATACTATGATGTATTCAGGTGAGTATAAGATGTGGTACAAATGTTAAAATCTGTTTTAGAACTGTTTTTTTTAAAGAGACAAATAAGAAAAACTGTTTAAATGTTGAGGGGAGGGAACTAAAGTGCATAAAACAGAGGGATCCCACATTCCTGAAAAGACGGAATTCCCTCTGAACTGCAAATACAAATGGAAGGTAGACACTTATAAAACAGGGACAGCCTTACATTCATGGGCAAGGTAATTTTAAAATGCAGTGTACACATAATAAATATACAAACAGTCATCAACTTATTGCCTTAAACTCAAATCTAAACTCTACTGAAAGTCCACCAACTCCCACAAGTAACATGAGACAGTGCTCAGGGACCTGTTTTGTGCTTTTCTAATGTGGTGTGTAAAAGTGGAGCAGTTGGCTCAGGTCCACACAGGACAAAAGAGCAGACAAAACCCTGCAATTACCGCTGCGTTCACTTCGATCGAGGATCTTAAAAAAATAAGACCCCTTTGTACTTTGAATTACAAATGATGCAATTTTCTCTGTGAATAAAGTAATTTACTTCCCATTTTAAACATCTCAAAATTTCCTCAGGGTCATCAGTGTGATTAAGGGAGAACCCCATTAGGCCAAAAACAGCAACACTGACCCTCACGGATGTTTACGGAGACTTTATAGGATCACCAGGCGTTTAATTTGATGTTTTTTAATCTTTCTTTTCATCCCATTTAAACTAAAAGTGGCAGGAAACATGTATCTATGAATATGCCCACTGCCCCCCTTATACTGTATGGACTTCCGTCGCAAAAGCAAACTCTGTATTTAACCCCCCATACACATAAACAACGCAAAGGGGTCTTCATCAGTAATGTGCACATAATCTCACCAACACACCCACACTGTGGAGAATGTTTGCACTTTAATCATGAAAAAGGCTCCACGAAAACATTCTCCGTTCATTGCTTCCTACACCCACAGAGCCATCATTACAGTTCCTGGCCCTTTTGAAATCTGAAAACACAGCAGCTCGAAGCCCTGGCAGATAATGAAGTTCCACTGGCCAGTTTGTGCTGCTCTCTCTGAGCGGTCAGCCCCCTCAGGGAGTCACGGCACTCTCATGAGTAGGAGACATGGAAGTCTATTAACTGCTAACTCACCCTTTCTTCCTGCCTCTCCCTGTTTCAGCTCTGATTAGAGATAAAAAGAGAAAATAGCAATGAGTCAAGGACTTTGAGCCATCTGCGTAATGAAGACCTGTGTGTGCACGCAGAGAAAATCACCTGACACGTTTTAACTCATGACTTAACCCTCGGAATACTTTCTCTTAAATTTTCCTCTGGCCTTCAAAGCACATATTCTGCAAAACACGTTTCTGAGTCGATGACTTCACATATGGGCTGAAATAAAATCAAACAAATCGATTTCCCATTGATACTGGTCAACAGTTTCTGCACTTTTTACTCTTTGGGACTAAAAACACAGGACTCTATGTGGGATCGTTCTGGGGCAGATACTGCTTGCCGGTGTTCACTGAGGCCCTGCTGTTGTCAGGCTGCTTCACATCGGGACACTGAGCTGTGTCAAGGTGCCGCATGTGTGTGTTGTGTGCGTTCAAGAAGAGCAGAGGAGAGAGCCGGGGTTAAGACCAGGACATGTGGTCCTAGGGGTGCACAGCTGCCAAAGGAGTCAGAACTAATGGAAGACATGTGTGGGAAGGTGTTTAAGGGCATATTATTTTTCACAAAATGCCTCATTCATGCATGCAAATAAATCCAAAATGCCTTCTGAAGGTTCCTTCAGAAGGCATTTTGGATTTATTTGCTTCTTTGTACCAATACTGGTTCCCCAATCTGCTGATTTTAGAGTTGATCTGCTCTCGCCCATTTGTTGCATTTAGGGAGGTGCTGATGTCTCACACGTTACTACGAAACCAACTGACACAAACTGTGTCTACTGTGTATCTATGCCTCATCTTGGATTAAGTTTAATCATTCTGAGGACAAAATACTTGTTACTACACACACTACTGTTTCTGTTGTTAAAATGTCCTTGTTTGATATATTGATTTTGAACAAATCTTTAGAAGGAAAGAGTTTAATATTGTTTTCAAATACTTTAACTCTGTTTTTA